CAACTGCAGATGTCGCAGCAGGACGAAGGTGCATTGTGAGCATATCTTGCTCGGCCCACAATTGCTGTGCCTCCGTCAGGTATGAAGTAATATCTTTATCCCCTTGTTCTAACCTATCCAATGCACACTGAATTTCAAAATTGTCTAGCCGCACTCGCCGTGGAGTACGTCGCCGCCAGCTGCCTCCACATACCATTGGCTGTCGGATGCAAACGAAGGCCTAACCATATATTAGGCTCTACAGAATTCAAGATCCAAGACCTCACCCGAGCATCATGCTGAGTCCAACGAGCGATTTGCTCCTCCGTAGCGGGTGGCATCGGTTTTGGAACAGTACCATCAAGAACTCCGAGGAGTCCTTTCCCTTCGACGAAAACCCTAAACTGAAACTCCCATAGCATATAGTTCTTCGGATTGAGGCGAATCGAAAGCCTCTCTGAATCCGCAGCCGAGTGCTCTGATACCATGTTGAGAAACCAAATCAGAAATCAAACGCACAGACACGAACACACAGATTTAACGTGGTATCCCTGGAATGCCAGGACTATTCCACGGGAGAGTATGACTCTCCAAGCTGCAAATTGTACTAGGTTACTTGAGTGTTCTCTGCCGACTACAAGTTCCCTTAAATACTATCCCAACCCTAGCACGTACACAATCACCTAGTGCATGGGTGCATGGGCTCCTCCACACGTGGGCCTAACAAAGATTACAATGTTAATGAATATACATTGGCCCAGAACCACGATTACACATCTAACAGGCAGCTTTGACAACATTTAGTTTTGTGGAACCCCAAGGCCCAAACCATAAGTCGAAGTAACTCTTCTGATGTAAATTTAGTGGAACCATACTATACAAAATTCAGAACATCAATACATGTTTCCAAGGATTGGAATTTAGGAGAACTTACTCTTCTGATGCAAATAGCTCCACGTGCTTTTTGGGCTTCAACCTTCTCAAGTAGACCATTGAATTGCTGCTCTAGTTCTGGGCATATGATAAGGCATATGCTGCTTGCCATGGTGATTGGAACCAAAGTAAGGTTTTGGTGATCCCATGAGCCTAGACCTGCTCTAAAACAGCGAGTCCATGCCAATCAAGCATAAAAAATCATTTCAATAACTCCAAATTCTTCTCCACCCAAAACCTATTCTTTAGTTTGTTTTAAACTTGAATTAACCTCAATTCAACAGAATCTATCAACAAAACACAAATTATGAAAAGCCATTACTGTGAATTCTCAAATTCCCACCCTGAAGAAACCCATCATTCAGAACCAAATTAGAAGCCTGCGGTAGGGAACTTCTTCAACTTGAACTTGTAAGTCCAATTAAAAATGCAGCTGCATATAGAAAGCTATATTGATGACTCGATATTAGCACATGTTTTCCGCTTTGTTTCTTGATCGTTTAAGCTTGCATTATCACTTCTTTGGCCTATTTTATGCTAGGTTGTGTTCCTTTGTCACATTTCAGGTCCTAGCATGTAAATTGAAGCATAGGCGCAAGTTTCAAGTCAATCGGAGATCATTTGGCAATTCGGGAGAAGAAACACGAGCATGACCTGAGGAATAATGGACTTCTACCTCATATTATGGACAAATAATCATGGAATTTTGTCATGAAAAGAGATAGGACGAGACTAAGAGCGTCTGGGATCAAACAGCGACTGATTTGGAGTCCGGACGAGGGCGAAATGAAGCATTAAATAGAGGCTGGGTAAGCCACAAGGGCATCCTGGAACTCCACACGGCCGTGTGGGTCGTGGCCATGTGGAAATCACCGAGCCTTCACATGGGCAGCTGGGAAAGCCACACGGCCGTGTGGCCTGGCCGCGTGATCGAGAATTTCTGTTTAAAACCCGATTTTGAGCAAAAGGAAAGGAGAGAGCTGGGTTTTTGGTTCCCAAACACCCAAGGGACGAACCCTAGAGAGAGAGAGAGAGCGACTTGGGAACATTCTTGGAGCTATTTTGGAGGATTTCTTCGCCATTGGAGCTCGGGAATCAAACTTGGAGATGGAGATTGAAGATCTAGAACAGAATTCTGCAGTCTCTCTCTTCTCTATGGAGTAACTTCCCTTCACTTAGGTTTTGAGGAACCCTAGTTCCATGTGTTAGGATCTTTCTTGTATGAAGTTTTGGATGCTATATTGTTTGATTATAATCGATTGAGGCATGATTTATTGAGTCAATTGAATCTTGATCAAATTCTCTTGACTTCTGCTTTAACCTATGATAGATAGAATCTGATTAGGTTAAGAGAGCTTCCTTGATTGATAGTTGTGAATTGGTTGTACGAGAGTCAATCAATTCACTGCTTTGTACTGGAATTCATTCCAGTAGTGGAGTTCTGTGTTCATAGCCTCAGCTTTCTATCCTGGTGAAGACTAGTCGTCTTCCGGGTATTCTTTCTGAGAGAGCTTGGTCAGCTTAAGAGATTCTAAGCTAATTTAGGATCTTCCGCAGTTTAATCAACAGTAGATCAACCAAAGGTAATTGCAACTTGGACCTAATTGAGGAGCTAGGGGGAATCATATCTAAGTGAGTTCCTAACTTGTAATTAGTAGAGTAGTTAGTAGAGTAGTTTATAAATCAATACTTAATCTAGTTTGCTAGATAATGAACCGAAGCTGAGCAATAGTAACTCTAGAGACCCGTGGATTCAATATTTATTACTTGTGCCACTATACTGCAGTCCCTTTCATTGGTTACACTTGGCCATTGTTAGGTGTTGTGTTTTAGCGTGTCATATATCCATGAAAGAAATTGGGGATCTGGAGGGACTTCCGTAGCAGTCCGCCGCTGTCGCCCACCGTGAAACCTCTGCCTTCCAACTTCTTGCCACTGTTGTGATCAATCCATCCAAACCCTCCTCGACTATGTATCCCCCTCTTAGTCGCTGCACCATCATAGTCCGCTCAACCTCTGTTTACTTCTTCTTCCTTTAATTTGAGTAGAAACAGATAACAATACCACAAATTCCAATTGTGACGGTAGGCATCCACTTCTCCGCTCTCCTCCCGTAATAGTCCTCCGATGACCTTACATCGAGCCAATCTTATTGCCGACCAAAGGTAGCCAAAATCTCACCAAACACATCTCCCAGAAATCCCAATTTATCATCTCCCTCTCTGTCCACCACCAACACCCTCTTCCGCCTCGCGCCAGTAACAACAACAGACGTCGGGGGCCAGTAAGCTTCAAGGTTGCTTTAAGCGACCCACCAAATCTCTTTAGCTACTTGGTCTGCGACCAAGATCTCTCTTGAGCTTATCATTCAATTGACCTAGCGATTTCGATTGGAGAATTTGTTGGAGCTCGACAGAGAAGCAATTAAAAACGAAGAGCTAAAAAAACGAAGCAATTAACCCGCAGTGCACATTAGTAAAACTCTTGTGCAACTGTAACTTTAATTATATTTAGTATGTTTTTCCACCTGGGTTGGATCTGATTGCAATTTTTTTTTTCATTCTGGGTACGGCCGGCGGGGAAGAGGGATGAATAGTGAGGGTGTTTGTACAATTAATTGTTGAAGTTTTTGTTCAAATGTAACATCCATTGATAGTGAAACCAAAAATAAAAAGGGTTGATGTGAATTAAACCAGATTATTTATAGTCGACTGAAAGGTGATATAAGGGTTATACATGTTTTGGTTTAAGTTCTGAGTTTGGTCTGTAATCCTATATTCGAATTGAAAAAGTACTGCAAGCTCTGCAGTATTCTCGGTCCATATTCGAATTCAGAAGAAGTTTCCCAGAAATGTTGTTTGTTGGCGGAGAGTTGAATGGACAATTGGTATCTATCGGATCACTTTCATTCGAGACTATGAATGCCTTTGTTTTGACTTTTGAAACTTATGCCACTGTACGGTTCCGCACCGTTACTCCGTTAGTCATAATAACTGATGAGGTATTCGTTTTGATGAAGACCATGATGACACATAATAACTTGCGTGGATGCTCGTTTTTGTTTCACTATGTACTTCATACTTGTTCTTCGTTTCACAAAAGAATAACGAACCACTTTATAGTTTCTGATTTAAGATTTTTCGAAATTGCGAACTACACGCAATTTTGTTTTAAGTTTTTTTTTTTTTTTTTTTTTGGACATTTTTGTTTTAAGTTGTTATGCGGTTTCTGTTTTCCTTGTGTTGTCACAATCTTCACAAAAACATCAATAAACGATGTTAAACGGAGCGTAACAGATAATATATGGGTGAGAGGTGGAAGGCCGACTAAAAGTCTAAAACATGGCCGTGGGGAGCTTGACAAAATGTAGGAGGCTGGCCTGGAATGACGGAAAAGGGCTTAAATACATAAGGGTTAGATTGAGAGTTATTCATTTCATATGTGACGCTAGGTCTGGGCCCAATATAAGGCCCACCAAGTCAATCTTAAAGAAATGCGGAGGGTACTGGCGGGCCGCTAAGGCATTTTGGCATGCAAACTAGGAGTAAATTGCAAGGTTGGTCACTGGGATTACTAAAAAGGTTCATGTTTGATCACTAGAAATATTTAAATCCATTCGTGGTCACTAAAATTAGTTAAACGTTTCAAATTTGCTCACTCTTCGTCCAACTCCGTTAAATTTTGCTGATGTGGCAGTCAACTCTCATAGTTGACCGTTAAATGCATGACGTGGCAATTAAAAAAATATTAAAAAATAAATTTTAATTATTTAAAAATTCCACATCATTTCCCACTATTAAAAAGTAAAAAAAAAAAACTTAAATCCTCATATGATCAGAACCCCGTCGGGTTTCTCCCTTCACCACTGCCGGCGGACTTCTCCCACGAGTTCGCCGGCCTCTGGCTGTTGACCCAGCGCTTCCGTCGACCAACCATCCCGAACCTCGTCGGGCATGATGGGTTCCGGGGACACAACTTCTGACCAGGCCGTAAAGAAAGAAGTTGTCGGGCCTGATTTCGATTTGAATTTATGGATCCGAAGGAACGACCACTGTTGGCGGTACTCCAGGAGGCATTTCAGCAAACACATGGTCGGCACCAGCGGCATCGACCATGCACTTCGTGCTGGTCCACAGGATCGGGCACGGGAGCTGGTGCTGGTACAAATTCCGGACCATGCTGGAGTCCTCGGGACACGGGGTGTCGTGCGTCGGCCTCGTCAACGCTGGCGTAGACCGGACCGACGCCAACGCGCTATAGTCGTTCGGGGAGTACAACAAGCCGCTGCTCGACCTGATGGCGTGGTTGCCGGAAAACGAGCAGGTGACGATAGATACCATCATTATTGTATTGTTCTTACTTATTTGAATTAGAACAATTGTTGGCGATGAATGATGATGATGATGAGTTCGATGATTAAATTGCTTTGAGTTTGGATTATAGTAACGAATGGATGGATGAAATTGCCATAAGTGGTGGTGGTGGGGCACAGCGCGGGGGGTTGAGCGTGATGGAGTACTGCGAGCCACAAGTTCCCAAACAAGATTCGGGTGACCGTCTACCTAGCCGCCACCATGCTCAAACGAGGTTTCTGCACCCACCGTCGTCTACATGAGGATATCAATTTCCACCATCATTCCCGACGAGGCCCGAGATGGTTGGTCGGCGGAAGTGTTGGGTCAACAGTCAGAGGCCGGCGAACTCGTGGGAGAAGTCCGCCGGCGGTGGTGAAGGGAGAAACACGACGGGGTTCTGATCATATGAGGTTTTAAGTTTTTTTTTTTTACTTTTTAATAGTGGGAAATGATGTGGAAATTTTAAATAATTAGAATTTATTTTTTAATTGCCACGTCATGCATTTAACGGTCAACTATAAGAGTTGACTGCCACATCAACAAAATTTAACGGAGTTGGACGGAGAGTGACCAAATTTGAAACGTTTAACTAATTTTAGTGACCACGAATGGATTTAATATTTCTAGTGATCAAGCACAAATCTTTTTAGTAATTCCAGTGACCAACCTTACAATTTACCCTGCAAACGAGAGAGAACGTGACGCTGGCTGACACTGTTAGATATGTTTAGCAAATCCTATCGGTCGGTTCGATCTGAAATAGCATATATCTAAACTAAAATGATAGGCGATTTTAACGATAGGAAATGGTTGAACCATGTGTGGATAAATCACGGTTTTACTATGAAATGTCATGTTACTGATTTTTCCGGCAACAGCTTCAAAAACGGTTTCACAAACCTTGCTTTTAGTATTCTCAGGTAGGGGTGGAAATCGGTACGGTATCGGTATCCCAATACCAAATATCGAAATCTCGAATACCAAATTACACTCTAGAATCAATCCCAATTCCAATCCCTAAATAATTTCGGTATCCAAATCTCAATCCCTATATATTTCGGTATCCCAGTCGGTACTTCGGTATCCCAATCGGTATTATCGAATACGAAATTAATTACCTTTATAATTAATAATTAAATATATAAATTAGATTTGATTGTTTAATATAAGTAAAAAAGAATTAACAAAGAGTTTTGAGTTTGGCTAGAGCTAGGATATGGATAAGGAGAATGAAGTAGAGGTGGCATCTCAAGTTTTTGTCATTGGTAATCTTTAATTTGACGAATTGGAGGCTGAGAGAAGATTAATACTAGTGTTTGCTTTTTGATGTTATGAAAATAACAATATATTGGTGGTTGAGGGTAGTGTATTAGTGAATGAGAGAGTCTAGTTGAGAGGATAAAACACACACTAGCTTATATTTCGATATTGTTCGGTATATACCGATCCCAATCCCATAATCCTTAATACCGAATAACAATTGAAATTGAATCTCAATCTCAATCCCAAGAAATAATACGTGTATTCGGTAATACCTAATATAGACAAATTCGATACGATATTCGGTATATCTCAAATACCGATACCAAACTTCCAGCCCTATTATCAAGAGCTTGTTCGTTAGAGTTCGTCAAGGTGAGATGAAAGAAACTTGTCACCACTGTTGATGGTTAATTTCTAGGCTTCTATATCTACATCTAGTAAGGGATATGTGTTGGGAATGAATAGCTTTGAAAGCTATATTGAATTAATTATCCCGTATTTTTTCTAGATACGAAAATAGGAAGGATAATTAATAAAAGAATATTATGGAGATAATTAGGATTAATTATTATAATATAATATAATATATTTTAATTATGGAAGTAATTATCTTCCTAATTAAAATATGACTTATTCCCAAAGAAAGAGGGAATATTCTGGGTTTTCTGCTCCTATAAATAGGAGACACCCCAGACCCTCTAAACACACCTCAGAGAGCAGAAACACGAGATAAAGAGTGAGTTCAAAGAGCTCCGGTTTTCCGCACAAAACCGCTGAGCAAATTAAAAGAGTGGCTGTTTTATCCTGGAGGCGACCGGCTGATAGTCTGCTGTGCGAATAACGAGGCAGTGCCGCGAACGTCTTAAAGAGAGCGACCTAGTCCGCGACTCAGCCAGATCGGTAACCCTAATTTTTCCTGTTCGATTTCTAACAATTTTAAGACGTTCGGTTGCTGTCATGTCTTCCGAGCAGATCGAATACCGCATCTGGGTCCAATTCGCTGCACAAACCCACCATCGCTCTACGACAGGGATGAGACGTCTGTCCGTTGCCCTAGGACGACGGCATAAGGAAGAAACGAAAGGGGAACTCGATTTTGGCCACACAAGCAGGATCCGTTTAATCATGGCGTGGAGGTTTGGGGTGTCATAATTCATAATTAATTGATGCCATTGATTTCAAATTCTTGACGTAAAGAAGAAGTGCTCACCATGGGAATATAAGCAATAATCATATATGCGTATGGGAATCTTGTACGCTAGCTGCAGCAGGTTGTATATTTTTTCTTTTTTGAAAAAAAAAAAAAAAAGGTGTTGCTGCTTCCGTTGGCAAAGAAGAACATGGAGCCGGGATTTGCGCTAATCCCTTACGAACCGGTCGAATCGTTTTGTTTGGTACTTTGGTAGTACTATTCTATACATAGGGAATTGACAGGGCATTCATTATAAAAATGTAGCCGCAGTTGGTGCGGATCATGCAGAAACAGGTCCAGGTACTTAGTGAAGATGCCGCAGTTTGGTCGTTCTTTCGTGGGCTGCTCAATAAGCGGACGAGGCTCCGAGAAGTTCGACCCCAATTAATTTCCAGAAGTAACAAGACTTCTGAGGGGTATTGTCTTTGGCGATGATATTATTATTATTATTATTCTTGTGGTTATTATTATTCTTCTGATAAACAGATCGGAGAAGGAAAGAAGCGGAGCGCCACCGTGAAGCATATCGATTCATGGGCATCAGTCTTGTGCTCTTTTCTGCATGGGCGAAGTAAATGGAAAAAATGTCCTGGTCCATTTAATTTTGCGTCCATTATGGAATCATTCCGGCCCAGGGCTTGGGCGGTTTGAACTTTACAGGGTGGACAAGATAAAGGTCCACTTATGGAAATCAAGCTAATATATGGTGATCACTGATGTTCTAGTGCATCGGCAGTGGGAAGTCATACTCGAACAAAAGGTTATTTAATTGGAAGCTAAGCCACAAATTAGCTATATATTGCAAATTCAGAAAGCAATGGCTTCTCGGAAAAAAGGTAAGAACTGAAACCTTACTTATGAGTCATTTATTAATGACAAATTAGAATCTATCATATGCATGTATATGTCGACATTGAGATGTATTACCTCGATGATTAGAGTACAAATAGAATACATGTTGTGGAATAGAATGATTTTGTTTGAATGCGTGCATATATATGAAGAATATGTGGGAATAGAATGGATTAATTTTCCATAGTGCGATATTGTAAGAAGTACTTTTGTCAGTACTAGATGAACCATTGGGGTTGCTCTGAAACATTAAAGTTTCAAGAATGAGAGCATCAAGCCGAACTAGATCCACAACAAATAGAATGGTATCCTTCGTGGTAACCATAAGATTGCCACTCAATCCTCTAAGAATGACACTATGTTTCTCAATTAAATTTGAGAAAAACTAGGTCATATAACACGAAAGTGTTAGAACAAGTTTAACATAGTATTGTGTTAACTTGATTAAAGAAGAGGATTTGGTAACAACAATCGCTTAGGTGATGACAGAGGTTAGCCTTAATGGTAACTCTGGAAAATGGTTGCTGGATACTAGCGCCCCAAGGCATGTATGTGATAGACGATCTAAGATGGATTCTTTTTTGGGACGTGTGTGTCCTTGTAAAGAATTAGAATATCTAAAGTCACATTCCCATATTATTCTCGAACGCTTGAGAAATTTTTTATCCAAGCAAAATGACCCATAACATATGTGGTTAGAGAATCAGAATCAATAGATCTCATTTATGTTGATATGGGTAAACTTGATGGAAAAGACAATAAATAATTTATTGCTCTTTAGAGTTCTCTGATTGTCTAACTAGTTATTCGAAATAGGTTGAAATGCCTAGTTGCATTATGATTGCACTGATGATTCGATGTGGCATGCATGTGGTAGCGTTAGAAAATCAGTATAGCATGATAACTAGAAGAGCATATGAGTGTGTAAGTTATTGTAAAACACATAAGCCTATGAAACGAAATACTCATGTTGTTGTGAAATCCATTAATGCCAAGAAACTTCCATTTTAAATCAAGAAATAGTGGGGGTAGTGTCTTGCCTACTATTAGAAATAATGGAACTAGTGGGGGTAATAAATCTGAGTTTAAACTCAGAAGAAGCAAATGAACCTGAAATCTCTTAAGGTTTTTGGTTATGAATTTGTTATTTACACCCTAAGAAAGAAAGATCCTACAAGTCTGCTAGAAGTTTGAACTTCCATAAAGATGCAGAATTGTGGGAGAATCCATTATTAAGGAAATGAAATTATTGGAGTCTAATAAGACTTAAAATCTTGTAGAGTTACCTCTTGGTTGAAAAGCCTTGGGTAATATATTGATAGAATCGAACAAGATTTGGCATCTTTGAGAATTACCTCTTGGCAATGAAGTCATGGGTAATAAATGGATTCTTAAAAGAAAAGTGAAACCTATTGGTTTAGTTTATGAGTATAAGGATCGCCTAATAGCTAAGGCTTTAAGCGAAAAGGAAAAATTGTAAATTTTCTCGTTATCTATTCACCATATGTAGAATAACATCCATGTATGTTCTGATTGCTAGTGTTGTGCGTCAGATGGATTGTTAAACAAGTTTCCGTGAATGGTGATTTAGATAGGAAAATCTACATGGGACAACCTATAGGGTTGTTATTCCTGAACATGCTTAGGGAGTCTATAGTTAGACATATCATTGTAAGATTTGAAATAGACTCTAAAACGATGGCATGAATAAACTGGTTCTCTCTCATGGTTTTAAAAGTGAAAGTGACAAGTGCATTTAGTACAAATTTGAGAATGACACTTGCATTATGAATGACACGTCGATCTTTGGTACAAAGACTCGTGATGTCAATATTGAAAAACCATGATGGTTGAGAATGTTGAATGTGAAGGATCTGAATGAAACGAATGTTATGCTTAGAGATCCTAATAACTAGGAAAATACGAGTTCTACACCTGCATAAATGTTTGATGGTGCTAGTATAATTTATAAGAGCACCAAAGACGGTGTAAGAAAGTAAGAACATACTAGCATCGACAGTCTGCGAGAGGCAGCTGATAAACATGAGACCCGACATAGTGGGGGTACTTGGCAGGCTTACTGATTGTCCTAGTATGAAGCATTGAAATGCTATTGAAAGGGGTCATGAGACACCTTAAAAGAACAGAAAAAACTTTGGTATTTGTTATCAAAGGTTTTGCTGTATTGGTAGGGTATAATGATGCGGATTAGAATACCCTATAGAGGACTCCAAGACAACAAGAGGTTGTGTTTTAAACATCGATAGAGAAGCTATGTCTTGGAAGTCTAAGAAGTAAACAATCCTGGCTCAATCAACTAAGAATCAGAAATGATAGAACTAGCAATGGCTAGTAAAGAGGAAAGTTGATTGAGAGGGTCAATACTAGAGATTCCCTTATGGGAAAGACCGATCCCTCCGGTAGATGATTCATTGTGATAGCACCGCAGCTATTACTAAAGAAGGGAACCGGTTCTAGAACGAAAAGAGATGACAAATTTGTCGTAAACACAGTACTGTAAGAGAACTCCTAACGATAGGAGCAATGAGGGTGGATCTTGTAAGATCCTAACAGAATCTAGTTGATCCTTTGACGCAAGGATTATCTAGAGAGAAAGTCCAAAATACCACGACGGGTATGAGACTTATGCCTACCGAACCATGGATTACAAGTGATGGTAACCCGACCCGATAGACTGGAGATCCCAAGAAACGGGTTCAATGGGTAATAACAAGTCATGAGTAATATTGAGAAAAGTTCATGCATAGTGAAGCATGAATCCCAAAGCCTTGGAGGTTGAGTTAAACTCTTAATGAGATCTATACTCTATGTGGAGTGAAGTACTTTACTTTGGGGGTACTTCTGATAGACTCACCTATGTGAATGTGGGAGTGGGGCCGCTCCCTATGGAACTTTGGAGGCACAAAGTTGCTAGAGCGTTCACTAAACCGGGATAACGTGCATGGCCATAAATGCACGGCCTATGAGAGAATATCACTCAATGAAAAGATCCGGTGTGCTACATTGTCTGAGATAGAGTTCAAGACTACGAGTCACCCTTATGAAATCGGAAGTGTAACCACTACGCTAAGGTTCAAATCTTCGCGATACCTTAGTTTATGCCCGATCTTATGGATCTGTTGATGCTCAGATATAGTTTCAAAACTATTCAAGTGGGGGATTGTTGGGAATGAATAGCTTTGAAAGCTATATTGAATTAATTATCCCGTATTCTTTCTAGATACGAAAATAGGAAGGATAATTAATAAAAAGAATATTATGGAGATAATTAGGATTAATTATCTTAATATAATATAATATATTTTAATTATGGAAGTAATTATCTTCCAAATTAAAATATGACTTATTCCCAAAGAAAGAGGGAATATTCTGGGTTTTCTGCTCCTATAAATAGGAGACACCCCAGACCCTCTAAACACACCTCAGAGAGCAGAAACACGAGATAGAGAGTGAGTTCAAAGAGCTCTGGTTTTCCGCACAAAACCGCTGAGCAAATTAAAAGAGTGGTTGTTTTATCCTGGAGGCGATCGGCTGATAGTCTGTTGTGCGAATAACGAGGCAGTGCCGCGAACGTCTTAAAGAGAGCGACCTAGTCCGCGACTCAGCCAGATCGATAACCCTAATTTTTCCTGTTCGATTTCTAACAATATGCATTTAACTGTGTTCTATTTTATCACAGGAGCATGATCAGTATAAAGTTGTTCATATATATTTCTTCCCTTCTCGAATACATCGACTGTTTTTCGGTGGAATGGGTCGCGTCAAGTAAATCACCATCATGTTTCTCGCCGCTCCAGTGGTCAAATCAAATCAGATCATCGACGTGCTGTGATGTGGACAACATCAAATGTACATATCTACTTCTTTATTGTTTGTCAAGAAGAGGGGAACATAAATCCGAAGCAGCCTGCATACCCATTACCCACAAAAAAACACATATAAATAAAAACATGAAAAAGGGGCGTTTCTTTCTTTTCTTGCTCAACTTGAGTATCAACTTGCAGGCAGCAGGAAAGGAAAGCTCTCTTTACTTCTTTAATTAGCAGCATCCCCGCTTGCAGGCATTTGGTACAACCAGACACACAAGATTCAAACGGACCAAAACAAGGTTTGAATATATATTTTTTAAGTTGTATACATAAACAAAAGCAAACAAGTTGCCAACTTATTAATTGATATAATATACAAGTTGATAGCGTGTTTGTAATGTTTCAGGCCCGCAAGACCAAGTTGGCAGCTTGCAAAATTAATGTACAAGTTGATAGCGTGTTTGCAAAATTAATTTTAACTTATTAATGGACTAGTGAGGTTAGCCAGCAGCTCTAGAATGCTCCCATTCAACCTATTCCTCGTATACCAACTATATCACGATGAATTGTGCATACTGCAGATTGAGTTCATTATCTCTTCCTCATTTAATTAGGATGTCTGGCCAGCAGCTTAGGCTTAGCAAGCTTTTTTGATAATGGTGATTGCATTAAAAAAAGAGGAAATGAATGTACAAAAGGCAGCTGCCAAAAGATGATGAAAAATGAAAAGCAACAAAGAGCTGGGAAAGAAGGGAGGCAAAAAGAAGAAGCAAGGTGGACCAGACCACCCCTGCACCAAGGAGCAAAGTAGTACAAATTGCCATCTTTGCAAGGAGGCAAAGAGTCAATTACAGACCATTCAAGAGGATAGTAGTGAAAAAAAGCAACGAAACCATTCAATTGCAGAAATAGGATGCCACAAGATCAAACACGTCGGAGGAAACTTGCAACCCAAGTGGATATCCCTGCTCTTTATTGATCTTTCCATGTGTTGCAGCCAGGGGCGGACCTAGGTGTTGTGTAGGGGTGTCGTCCGACACCCCTTCGCTCGAAAATTTTGTGAAGAACCTATATTTTTTGGTACAAAAAATTTTAATACGAGATTTCCGACACCGCTTTAATAATTATAATCGATACTCATTCATTAGACGACACCCCTCTTCAACAATCCTGGGTCCGCCACTGGTTGCAGCCCAAGAAATAGCCATTTTAACAGTGTTACGGGTGATGACAGTAGCAAGGACCTTCATGTCATGAAAGATATATTTTTTAAGCGTAAGCCAAATCTGCCAAATCACTGCGTGTAAAATGCAGAACATGCAGAACTTGAATCATCCTTCAATGCTACATGGAGTGCTCACAGGGGAATTTAATCCTTGGAATTTAATTAATCTCCATTATCTCTTTGGCATAAAACACCACACCTACCTAGTTGTTACTTATTGAAACTAACTGATTATTGATAGTTTCGGAGTTTGGAAACATATATAATGTATTACTTTAGACAAATCTCACCTCGACAAAACACTGGACAAATTCATTACTCATAAAAAAAAAACAATTCAACGTTAACTAACAAGACGCGTTTTGAAATGAGATAGACACTACGGGAAAAATGGCCTCTTGCAACTCCCCCAAATGTGTTGCATTATGTCTTAAAAGGGTTGCGAAATCTTATCGCAACACTTTTGGTAGGGTTGCATATAGTGGGGGTTGCAAAAGGAATAGACAACTGTTTTTTCATTTTTCGCAACCCAAATATAAAGGGTTGCGTATCCTTACCTCTTACGCAACACCACTTTAGGCAACACATTTCACAACTTTTGCAACCCTTTTTTGTAAAATGGGCAAATAAGTTTTTTAACTTTTGGCAACAATAAATTTGTATATGTGACGGGCTAAATCGTCACGAATAACTAACTCAATTGTGACAACATTGTTCGTAATGCAATAAAAACTTGCGTGACAATATCATCGTCAATAAAAATTCTTTTTGTGACAAGGTAGTCGAGTCACGAAAACTACCATTGTGACATGTCACATGTGTGACCATAATTATGTCATAAATACATATTTTGAAATTCAAGGTAAGATTTAGGGGTCGAGTTGGTTGTCACTAAAGTAACTATTTGTGACGAAGTTTACTATCACGAATGTCCCCCATGTGTGACGAATTTCGATCGTCACTGCAATTCAGTATCGGTGATGAATAGATTTGTCACAAATGATTTTCTTTTGTGGCAATCATTGTATTAGAAAAGCATATTTCTTTAAAAAATGGTCACTAAAATAGTGAAACCGAATTCACCAGATAATACCCAAAAAAAATTACAACTTCAATTTGGCTACGGAAAACTCTGAATAATATTCCAAGCAATCAAAACTATACATGGGTTACGAACGAGATTTTAAATCATCAAGTTCTTGCACTTCGTCATGCTTTGCTTGGAAGTCAACTAACTTTTTGTTCCCATTCTCAGAAGACTGTGAGCGAGTAGGAGTCTGGCTCTATCTTCCTTCTTCTTGTATAAGTGACACAACCGGTCTCATTACTGTCAAAACAGAAAACAAAGGGTATATATCGAATCAGGCAAGAGAGAGGTGCAGTTAGCTGTCTTTTATTGTATTGCTGTAGGAAAAATAAATAAACAAAAACCAGAACCTGTTGACGAGGTGCTCTCGGTGAAGTCTGGCGAGCGGATGGAAGAGAAGAGTATTGAAGCCTCCGGAAATTGGTGAAGTGTTTGTTTCTAATCTTCGTGTGAACCCAGTAGTGATAAAATGAATTAATAGGAAGGATAGAGGGCTTTCCTTTCTAATATCACAGTAGATATGATCTTTAAAGGAAAAAAAGTTAAGGGTTAATTAGATAATTATGGTATGGAGGGAAAAGAAGATGGGAGGAAATCTTTTCTGTTAGCATACTTATCTTTCCTCGTTTTATAGTGCATATCACGGATAGATCTTTTGGGTATTAAGTATTAATCTTTAGATTGCTACTGCAATGTGTAATTGATTTTATATTGTTGTCTCTATCTTTCTTTGTTTAAATTTCATATACTTTTTTTTGGGTAAATAGTTTCATTTATTATTTGATAGACTGTGTTGGTGAACTTTAGCATAAAATAATTTGAATGATTTACCTTTATCGGTGAAAAACTGCCATGGCGGTGAGAAATTTATCGTCTAGCCAATGGTGTAAAACAAAGATGTGAAAGGCACTAAGATATTTAGAGAAGTTTTTTCGAGCCACTATTTAGTTGAACCATTCAGTCCATAAAGCTTGTTGTAAATTTATGACATACTAATTGACTTTTCGTGTAAGAAAATTCTCGCCGAAACTTGTTTTTGCATGAACTTTTTCTCAAGAAGAATATATGTGCTATTTAGTAAAACGTAGCTGAAACAATGACGATCAGTTGCACAATTTACTGTTTTTTTATTTATAAAGTTTCTTGAATCATTGAAGTATATGTTCTCTTTAATCAAATTATTTACTTGCAATGATCAATAAAAGACTTGCCATAGATAAAAAGTCCACAGATGAAATTACCCCTTATTATATTTTGCAACTAATTTGCTATTATGTTGCACAAAGTATATGAATAAGCAACACCACAACAAATGTGTTGCATATAATAGAGAATATGCAACAGATAACTAAGTTGGGTTGCATATACTACCTAATACGCAACTCCAAAAAAGAGAGTTGTCAATACATACCTAACGTAACACTTTCGATTAGTGTTGCAATGTGGGTGTTGCAAGAGGTCTATTTTCCTGTAGTGAGAGAAGTTCTTGCAAAAACTGTAAAGTTAATTACGTACACCGAATAAAATATTGCAAAGATTAACTAACTCCAAAAAAATCATTAATTATGCACTCCAGAAGCAAAACCGTGTAGCAAGACAAGGACGCACTACTATCCACAATGATCCTTTCCATTAATTCCAACGTATATATTCGACACCAAACCCTAGCTATGAAAATAAACAGATCGACAATTACAACATTGTAGAGACAAAGCTGATACAAATAACATGATCATCATATCATATCACCTTCTTCGATCAATTACAACTAGCGTACCTCAAATCCTTTGCATATAAGGATAAAAAATTAAACGCCAATACTTCGCCTCGATGCTTTATATACACTTCTTGAGGATCCCTACTTAAACGAAACCAGGAAGAAAAAGAAAAAAAAAAAAAAAAAGACTAACCTAAATACATCCTAAGAAGAAACAACTAATGACGCCTCCAGAAGCCAATTAATGAAAAGATAAGTACGAGGAGGGTAAATGAAGTAACTATGAGGAAGGAGGAGTAATATTGTTCTTCCCGGCGGCGGCCGCCATGCTCTCGGCGATCCGAGCCAGAGACTGCAAGTTGCACCCCACGATGGTGTCCACGAAGCTACACGTGTCCTCCTCCGTATTCCCCGGCGGCACGTCCACCACGTACGACTCCACCACCACCGTCCCCCCGCCGCCTCCCGCCGCCGCCGGGTGGAGGGTGGTGACGGACCGGTAGTTGCGGAGGCGGTGGTCCCCGCCCACCACGCTGAAGCTGATGACGTGGCGCTCCTCGTCCAGGATCTCCAGCCGCTCGGTGCTGCTCCCCGCGGGCATCCCCGACACCACGCGCACCTCCCGGAGCGTCCCCACACCGCCGTCCCCCTGGATGACGCGGCAGCTCCTCAGGAAGTGCTTGTACGCCTGCGGGTTGTCGAACCGACGGACCACCGACCACACGGCCGGGACGGGGGCGTCGATGCGCCGGACCACCGCCGAGCTGCACTGGTTGGGCCGCAGCGCCCGCGTGTGGTGACGCGCCACGTACTCCGGCACCGCGTGGTCACGTGCCTGCAGGAGGAACGGCACGTGCCGGCAGTCTGCCGGGTGCTTGTATTGGTAGACCGAGGGTGGTGCCGCGGTGGCTGGAGATGGGGTTAGGTGGAGGGCGGCTGGCATGGCTGATTAGATCGTGTAGATGTGAACGGTACGGTTTGGTTTGCTTTTTAGCGTGACGCCGGCGGTGAATCCCCGACGAGGGAGTTTTTTTTCTTTTCCCGGTGATGGTAATTAGGAAGGGAGAATTGTCATTCATGGAAGATTTATATATACAAGAAAGTATTGGAAAAGGGTTTTGAGGGAAGCAAGTTGGCATTAAATGTTTTTGGAAAGGGATTTAAATTTTGAGATTAGTTGATAGGTGATATATATGGAGCAAGTGGGGAGGGGAGGAGAAGTGCAAGTTGCTATTTCTTTGGATTTCGGCCCTAATAATAAGTTTTTAGGAGATTGGAAATTGTATATCAAACATTACATGCATTTCATTTTATTTTCATCTCTAAAATTTGGCATTTTAGATCAACGATGAGTAAAACATTACATGTGAGTGTGACATGAAATCAACATTTCATTTGGTACCCAATTATCAGTATAATTCGAAACACATGTAAATTTTTTAACAAATTTGCAAAATATAGTAGTCAATAAAACATTAGCCTCCTCCTCTTCAAATCATCATGGTCTAAATCAGCCCTCTCATTCAAATTTTAACTTCTCCACTCAAATTCATTGCAAATCATACATATGGCAGCTTCCTTCCACCAGGCTTTAACCGATCTCTATTACACTTTCACCATCTCTTCCAAGAAAACAAAATATGTTTAAGAAATTAAGAACAACAACTTGGCATTGTTTTAACCTCAATTTGTCTCCATTTAATTGATTATTTCATGTCTCGAGGAAACTTCGCAGAGAAAA